AGGAAAAAATTATTTAGTTTAGCTTGCTTTGTCGAAAATTCATTTAGGATTTTGATTAAACCAAACTTTATTTATTTTCAAATTATGTTGTTAATATATGATATATGTTATTGATATTATGTTTACAAATTAATTTGAAGCTTTCAATTAAAGCAGGGATCAAATTCGATTAGTCGTCAAATCAAGGCGATCATAAAAAGACTTTCTTTTCATAACCTATGGTCAATTTCTGATAAGGGACAAGTGATATTGTTCTTGTCATGCAAGTGCCATACTGTTCATTACGTGATCTTGGATACCAAGAAGATCGACTTATTAAATTATCAAATTTTGCATAATAGATATCTAACCAAAAATTTAACTTCATCGTGTGATTTCATCAGAGGAACTTTTTATTTGATACTCAGCAAGGAGTAGAATTAAAAATTAAAAATATGGACTTAGGCTCTTACTTGTAAACATTTGTAGTATACCGACCTAAAACCAAAAAATGATCAGACATGCTCGCCCAATTTGCCGCATACATATTTTTCGGAATTATTAAAAATCATTGCTAAAGACATTCATAATATTCTATCGATTACACATTATATTTTATGTTCTATCAAAATGTTCAATCAAAATTGTAACATTCTGAATTGTCACATAGTGCATGAAAATGAGCTTGAAAKTGTAGTTTTATAGTTTTAATTAAAAATTTAACGAATTCAAGGTGTTGAACATTAATAAATAGCTTTGTCGACTGGTCTTAGTCGACCCAAGCCCGCCCTTTTGGAGTACTTTTGTGAGTGATTTAAAAATTGCCCTAGGCTGTCAAAATGCTAACACTATTTTTAAATGATGTTATACTAAACAATAGAACGACACGTACTTCAAGCAAACCTGTTACACGGTTCGTTAATTTTCGGTTGAATATTTTCAATTTGCCACATTAATAAACACTTTCGTTCAGCTAAAGCTCATTTTCTATCCGATGTCTAATTATACAGTTTTAAAGTCTAGCTTCAAATTAAGCCCACATTTGTTTCTTTTTATATAGATAGTAAATATATATAACTATAAGGGTGTTATTTGCAATGTCTTTGGTGTTGTTTTTATTGCTTATCCTTTTAATTAATGTGATAGAAYGGTAATTTAAACGCAGTCGCCTGTAACTACCAATGAACTCACAAAGAATGCAATGACCACCCCAGCCCTCCCCTCATGATCTTATGAAATCAATGCTATAAAACCAGTAAAAGCAAGTCGATACGATAATAGAAACCATTAGAGCTTCAATTCACTAGAGATCCACCCCTAAGAAAGGGCTTATTCCCAACTACGAATTATAAACCGGAGCTTGGCTCTTCTACTCAAGAAGCAATGGAAAGAAATAGCTCTCACTTGTCGTGGGGGTATCATTATCTTCCAGGCTCACCGCTTCTACTCAGTCAAAGACCCAACTCACTCTACCAAGACGAAAGAGAAAAGAACTTGGTTTCTAAATATCCRTGCACAGTAATGGCTTCGGACAGACCTGCAGGCAATTATATTGCACCTTGCTATTGGCCTTCACACTATTCTGGGCCGTACGGAGTCAGACCGCAGACTGCAGACAACTCTACAGCAGGCAAACACTGTGAATGTTCTGCGTGTACCACAACCTCTCCACAGCCTTTTAAGCCGACGTATTCTACTGACCCTCGCAAAAGTCATAGCCCCGTTCAAATGCCCCTTTATCCATCTAAAGATATTTCCACAAGTGATGGAAATGCTGTACAGACTTACGCAACGCCAGGTAAGTACTGAACAAACCGCGCTCAAAATTCATTTAAAAGATCGAGAAACAGTAAAAACTCTTGTGAACGCGAAATTCACCTCATTTATTGCGTCAATCAATAGTATAATCCAATTCTCCCTGTAATGTAAATACCTAATAAACAAATGCGTGTCGATTCTAATTTGTTAGCTATAGTGCCGTCCACAGGTGCGCCGTTCTATGTTTCTAAAAGTAAAAATGACTATCATTATGTTCGATTCATTCGCACTGGTGTGAATTAAACTTATTATTTCATTATGTATTCAGAATTGTAGAAAACACTGCTATAGAATTAAAGGAGCAACTGATGATAACGGTTGACTTTTATCAGTTTTATGGCAAACTTTTTTCCTTTGAATTGAATCGGAACTAAGAGAAACTTCAAGATTGATGCGTGCATGAAACCAGTGTCTTATAGTTTGGCTTCCTATTAAAAAAGAACATTATATGTTAATTTAATCCTTTTTTACATTATTGCCCCTTAATTACCGCGACAGTTCAATATACACTCTTTTTTGTTATTTTGTCACTTTTGTGTGGTCTCTATGTTCGGTCGCTAGGTATCAGGAGATACCTTTCATCGAAACAATCCGTTCTTTGAAATGWCCTGAGCCTTTTTGGAAAAAAGGCGCATTGAAGTTTTAAGTCCTGCACGTCTTTTATGTATTTTTTAATATATAAGTGTAAACTGTATTGGTAGATGTACAGTCTTCATTGCTAGAATATTAGATAACAGACTTATTACGAGATTAGATTAATTGATTCTTCCAGCCGGGAGATGTTTGAATGGAAAATTCCGTGATGGGCTCATTTCAGCCGTTTTAAAGCCACATGATAGAAACTTTAAAAAGTCGATTAAAGCAAATTAGCTGTATTGACAGTTATGCTTGTTGTTGTTCGTATTAAACAAAGGTGTATATAAAAACTCTTCGTCATAAAYGGTCAATATTTGCTTAATTTAACTTTGGTTGGTTCGTTTATCTTGAGGCTTCCTTTAATCGATTACAGTATAATGACAACAACAAACCATTTAATAGAACATCTATTACAATGATATATGAAACTTTAGTTTTTAGCCTTCCTGGTCTTTACGACAAGTTTATGGCGTAATGGGGAACACAGGTGTAGAAGTATCGCTTGTAAGTGAAAAGTGCCGGATCAATGTAAAGTGGACGTTTTTGTTCATAATAATTTCGTTTAGCAGTTCGCATATCACCTTTCTTCCGTACTTAAGACATGTTTTAAACAAGGATTTGGGCATTTTATCTAAGTAGAATTAGAGTGTAGAGATTTAAGTTACAATATCGATCAATATCAAAACATCGTGTGTCGAGTAGGTACGTCAGAATAGGCAATTACAGAGGATCAAGTCAATTGAATATCGAAACTTCTACAGAAAACAGTGTGTGGGGAGTAAAACACCCATTTAATGTCCGGATACAGAACAATTCAATTTAATTATTTATCTAAGCTAGTAATTTAGTTATAAGTTCGAGAGTTATTTACCAAACATGTACTTAACAATTTGTTTTCAATAGTGCTCCATTACTAAGCGAAATTAATAGGTCAGTTTTGGATTTCAATAGCGAACACGTACCAGTTTTTTAATGTTTTCATCGACAAAAACAGCATGTCCTCTGAACAATGGACCTACATTAGCTGTATARTTTAATGTTTCTAGGCGGTCAATAATCACTAAAAAAAAGAACAGTGCTTTCATACTTAACACGTGCAGAGCGAAGCTCAACACACATGCGTTGAGGTGTAACACGAAAGCGACCAGCAAGTATTTCTTACTTCAAATACAAAAGAAGAATGGAGACCAAGTCGACGAAGTACYAATATCATGAAAAACGAAACTCGTGTCTCCAAGTGGTGTATCTTTAAGAATATTGGTCAACGTACTCAACGTCATTAAACTAGAAATTTCCAAAGCTAAGCCGTATTTTTGTTTTAAGGAAAAAGTTACTTTATAACCGCATTGTATATTTAAAGAAGAGTCAGAGCTCTCTCCAAATTCAATCAGACCAGGTCATAAGTACAAAAAATATTTTTACTGTTTAAATAAATAGATGCGGTTAAAATCCAGCTTTGATTCGACGCGTGATTAAAGGAATATTTCAATGAAAGAGATTAAGATTCTTATCAGCTTGTTGTGCGATTGATTTTATTTGTGCCATACTTCACACGCTTTTTTTAAGTTAAACGTTTAAAGAAACTGTGCAAATCAATATAGAATCATTTGTTAGTTTAATCTGTTCATTTCGTTCATTTTGTATTGCCATCGTCAAATTATATACCATAGCGCAGTCTTATGCAGTTTTTTTTCTTTTTTCAGTTTTTTTCTCTTATATAATGAATCTATCATTGTAATGATATTATCGTCGATATTACCGCAGCGGCATAATCACCGGTCGTTTACACCAACGATTTAAACTGTGCRATTAATGAGAAAACGGCTGGTAGAAATTGAAAGACTTGATTTTGTWCATGTCGGGGTCTCCATCAGTGTTCAATTACGGTCTAGAATAAAAGATTGAAAGCGCTGTGTGAGCGTTCGTTTTCGGTGTTCTTTCTTTGTGGAATCATATATTGCATGACGAAAACCATTTTACCGTGCAATTCTGTCCGACATGTAAGTAGTAATTTCAAATGCGTTTACGAAAATGATCATTCGCTAAAGGATTTTTATGTGTCGACCGGAATTTGCATCCGCTCAAAAACAGCCGTTTATTCATAGTTAATCGATTAACTCAATGGTTTATAGCAGTGTAATTCAATTTTGCCACCTTTGCACATGTACGATTTTCTCTTTTTTCCAGTGGYTTCATCTGGTCTGTGCTTGCCAAGTGATTGCGTTGATAGTATCGGATCAAGACCCCAAGATACGGGACCAAGGCGAGGAAGGACAGTGTTCACCGCACAACAGCTACAAGTCCTCGAGAGGGTCTTTGCTACGACACAATACATCGTCGGCTCACAAAGAAAATTCCTGGCAAATCAGTTAAGGCTCAGCGAGACTCAAGTCCGCGTTTGGTTTCAAAATCGAAGAATAAAATGGCGCAAACAAATGCTTACTCGTTCTATCAATGGATAGCTAATCGAATCAATGATCGACAGAAACACTATCCCTTTTAGAAGTGCTACTTGTCTAATTCTAAAGTTCTTTTTAGGAAATTTGTCGTCTCCCTTTCTATTTTTTTTAACATTTGTAAAGTCTTAGATAAGGTGGCGTTAATTGTATATTTTCTTTGATAAGCACTGTTATCAATGATCAACAAGTGTAATTAATTATATTATTGTAAACAGTTTGATCACTATCTATATATATCACAATTTTCAATTAAAGGTTTGATCACGAAGATAAAGTGATTGCAAACTCACCTGAAATCAGTAAAATGATTTAATTTAATGTAATAAGGCATTTTAAYCATCATAAAGCTTTCAAAGAGCGTATCGAACAAACCTTTATCTTGGTTCTCAGTGTGGTATTATAAAAAGTTGTCCACTTATCACTATATGAATATTCAGCGTTTTTTGAAGATCTGTTGTCTCCAATAAAGGACATTGCTACTGATAGATCAGTGAAACTTTATCCTATTCTTTTTAACCGTTTTCCCTTTATAAGACGTTGCGATTCATGCAGGAAAAACAGGCCCGTGGGGTCCTTAAAAATAGGGAGGTTCGTTTTTTCATAATGCGGACCTAAATTAAATGTTTACCTAAATTAGTTCAATGCACAATGTAGTGAGTGAAAACTGTCTGCTAGTATAAGCAGTTCAAAACAAATTAATATCTCAAAAACAGTTCATAACAAAATCATTTTAAAATAGAACAATGAAAAAAGAGAAACAAAGGACCTTTTAAGCTTGTGGGGGGAGGGGGGGGGTTCGTCCGAACCCCCGAACCCCTCCAGCCTACGGGCCTATAAAGAACATGCACCGAAGCGTATAGGAAACTCGCACTGATTTATAATCCAGCATTCTTAGTGCCTTTCCCCACCTTAACACCCCATGTCTTCCGATTCAAACTGCATCATTAGACGTTACATCATGCTGTTACCAATAAGAAGGTCAATTACACGGCTTTTACGTTTACTCGTCAAATAGTCCATAAGTCAATCCTATAGGTCTGGCTCCAGTTCCAGGGTAGTAACGAGAAGGTTTAGTGATCAGCATTATTTTCCGGCTCAGAGTGATCGCATTTTCATCATTTTATGGGCTCAGGAATAAAAGGTTTTTTTTTGGGGGGGGGGGTAGGATCAAATTTTAGAACTCGGATCAGGGATCACCGAGAGAACAATATACTCGTTATAACTTTAATCAGTGAAATATGGTTTATCAGTAAATATTTTAAATAGATTATTGTATGTCTGTGAAGATCATTTTTTACAATAATCTTACGATAGAGATACAAAACTTGCATTATATCCTTAGTCTCTGTGTACAAAACTGGATCGTTTTAGGAACATGAAAAACGGCCATTCTGCTCCTGAAGTAAGCCAATCGTGTAGAGAAGAATCGTCAGTTTTTTTATTTTCTTGTTTTAGTATTAGGTTTTAATATCTGAGTAACGCATTGTTTTGATAAACTATATGTAATTTTGTCATGAGTTTTTCTTTCTGCCTACAGACTGTGATTAGAGTATGGTGTGCAAATTTACTCCACCTCGTTAGTAAATTTTCAAATGTGTTAATAATTTCAATGATATTTTGAATTTTACTTGAGACTATAAAACAATGTTATCAATATGTCGTTTTTGAATGTYGAGTGGGAAMACATTCCTGTTTCACACTACTCGTTGCCTCGATACCTTCTTGTAATCATTAAACATATCAGCGATGTTTTGTTCATATTGTTCGTACAAATGGTTTATGGTTAATTCACATTATGTATATAAACAACGGGGTATATAATATACGAGTCTACTCCCCTAACTCCATACGTTTAATATCGTAAAATTAGTGTATAGTATAGCTTCCCTCCACCCTTCTTTTCAATGTTGTGTGGAAGCGTTGTCTTATATATGCATGCCGCAAAGGGAAACTTTGACTAGAGATCTGTCATAATATTTAATTTATCTTGTTGYAATAAATGAAAAAAATGTGTTATAGGTATTAACTAAAGAAACTGCAGGATTTAAGCTATAATTTAACGAAGTTTCTTAACATCAGGCAGCCTGGATGACGCTTAGTCCAAGAACTAAACGTCATCAGGCAGTCGATTTCTTTTGTGAAAAATCGTCGGAACAACTGTAATTTCAATTAATACAACAAGGGAAAATGCAATAAAGACCGAAATAATACTGTTCGACAAATTTGTATAGTCAAAAGCACGGCATTTTGAGATTTTTCGACTGCCTGACGTTTAGTCCCAGAACTAAACGTCAGGCAGTCGATTTTTTTTGTGCCCGACTGCCTTCATGTCGTTTAGACAATCCGATAATTTAATCGTTTTTTTATATTTTTATATGGCGTCGATACATGCAAGCTCTTATTCCTTTCTGTTTATGTACTCCCCATTTGCCCACCTACATATCTGCTTTGTTTGCCCTCCTAATTCCTCTCCGTTGAAAATATATATTAAACTAGACGCTGTAACAGCGTGAAGTCGGGCTAGCTAGTATAGATGTATAGTGAGTAATGGGAAATATTGGATTGTGCTGTAAATTTTGTATGGAAATTAAGGTATAGTTGTATGAGTTGTTAGTTTTTAAAACTGCTAAATTAGCAAAGATMTTTGGCTCATTTTATTCAATATATGCAAAGGTCACCAAAACAATAAATAAATGCGYCTTCGAAGAAGCGTCAAAATYATTCTGCTTTACGATGAACTAAAGTCGCATTTTGTTATAAACAAAGTATTAACAGTCTTGTTGTTCTAACTTTTAAGTTAAAGTTTTAAAAAACCTTTACCCACACAAGACACATTGAAAGCTAGAAAGGTCATCTACTCAGCTATGTATACTTATACTTGATTCTGCATGCGAGCTGCACATGCGTGTCCTCCTTCCTGATGCTAGAAAATGCATTCCAATGCGATCACAGATACCATATTTGTAACTAAATAGATTTTTGGTCGTATAAAAGCGCAAGAAGCATCGAATTATGACTAACCATGTAAGTACATCTCCAACATTTTAAAAAGGCTTCCAGTGTCGTCCTGACACGACATACTACATAGATAGATAACTAACATAAATGGATTGACGAAGATAGCCTAGGGCCTGATTAATAAATAAACTTTGTTTTAATGATGGTAACAAGCTTATTAAAGACTTTTATCATATAATTATATGCAAAACAGAATAAAACATGGTTGCTTGGAGACACGAATTTAAATTTTTCGCCAAGCTCACTCGTGAGAGCATGCTACTCGTGAGAGATCTTTTCAACACTCGAAGATGAAATCCGTATCTCCGCGCGCCCATGTAACATCCTATTATATCTTGATTTGACGCACTTCAAAATCTCTATAACCTAAACTCTACGAAATGATGCCAATACCTTTGTTTTCAACATCAAAAGAAAAATTATCTGAGCAAGAGGGTGAAMCAGTGAATCCAAGTCTTATAAAGTCTGTTATAAGCCAGCGCATTTMCACGGGCCAACCATGCTCTCGTCCTCTCCCGCTCTGTTTCCTTACAGTTTGTGCTCCTATTYCGCTCTGTTTGTCCTCCTATTCCGCTCTGTTTGCCTTGCTATTCCACTCTGTTTGCTTCTTATTTCGCTCTGTTTGCCCTCTTATTCCACTCTATTCGCGCTGCTATTCCCCTTTGTTTGCCTTCTTATTCCACTCTGCTTGCGCTGCTATTCCGCTCTGTTTGCCCTCGATCTTATTCCGCTCTGTTTGCGCTCCGCGATTTCGCTCTGTTTGCCCTCTTATTCCACTCTATTCGCGCTGCTATTCCGCTTTGTTTACCTTCTTATTCCGCTCTGTTTGCCTTCCTATTCCGTTCTGTTTGCCTTCCTATTCCGCTCTGTTTGCCCTCCTATTCCGCTCTGTTTGCCCTCTATTTCGCTTTGTTTGCCCTCTTATTCCGCTCTGTTTGCCCTCTATTTCGCTTTGTTTGCCCTCTTATTCCGCTCTGTTTGCCCTCTATTTCGCTTTGTTTGCCTTGCTATTCCGCTTTGTTTGCCCTCCTATTCCGCTCTGTTTGCCCTCTATTTCGCTTTGTTTGCCCTCTTATTCCGCTCTGTTTGCCCTCTATTTCGCTTTGTTTGCTCTCTTATTTATTTATATTATATATTGATATCAAATATAATTATATTATTATATATAAAAAATTACAGCTGTTTGCAATAATTCTGACCCCCTCTGCCATATTTCATATATATCAAACTGACCTTTAATATTATGGGATATCATGACTGATATATTTTTTGAGTTGTCCAGAATGAGTACTTTCTAAAAAAAATATCAGCATTGGTATCCCATAATTTCTAAGGCTACTTTGATATATATGAATATTAGTGTAGGGGGGTCAGAATTATTGCAAACAGCTGTATAACAAATTATATTTTTATGTAAAAAAAAAGAACATTGAATTTCTAAAATCCTAATCAAGAGATCCTATCAATAAAATACAATTGTATATTTTAACTTATTTTTTTTATTTTTAACAATTCTAGTTCTCTAAATACAGGATAAGCGTGTACTCTTAATTCAATTGGTGTATCTACAATATACTTAATACCATAGTGTATGACTGTTCTTCTTACAGCTTAATGGAAAAGAATGACAACTCGTTCTTCAGGTTATGAAGTAATGGTTTCAACTGCGGTGAATAAATTTCTAATGAATATGATCGTAGCAGTGTAAATTATAATCTAAGCGATTATTAATAATTATAAAATAACTTGGATACTACGCGCGTTCTGATTGGCCGACTGCCGTGTTTGTATCAGAGTATGTAAACATGGTTTTGACGTCACCATTTTTTGTCAAGTGTGATTCAAAACTACAATTGTAGAAGTAGAATAGGAAAAAAATCAGCTATTTATACAAAAATGTATCCGAAAACTTGGCAACAACTATTTATGAGTATTCTGCATTAAGTTTTACTATTTCTTGTAAGTTTTGAGTGCATATAATCTTCGGTATAAACTATTACTTAAATATATGGATCGCCCAAAAAAATTCGGAAATCGAACCCTCTGCGATTCCGGTACAGTGCTCTACCAACTGAGCTATGAAGCCAACTATGTTGGCGAGTGGTAAAGAGCAGCATTAAGATTTATCAAGGGACTCATCAGAGGATTAAGATAAGTTGTGAGCTGCTAAAGAATCCGCCACGAATTAAGAATAGTCCTCTAAATAAAAACTCTGTGATTCAAAATATCATTTTTCGTTTTTAAACGAATAAGTCAGAGAGATCAGATCAGAACTTATARTATTCCAAAGAATATGTGTGTTTCGGTATGGTGTTAGATTTAGATCAAGGTCACAGCAAACGCCTAACGTCAATGTTTAAAGAAAACGACTGACAATCGGAATTTATATAAACAGACGTAAAGAACGGAGCGTTAATTCAGAAAAACACTGCATGGTCACCTGATTAGTTTAAAT